CGATCGAGCCCACAACCACGACCCGGAAGAAATCAATACACCGACCCGAAGACACCGACGATTGGCCGCGTTCATCGAAGACGAAGAGAAACGTTTGAAGAGGAAGGACTGAGACAAAATCTTAGGTTAACATAGAAGTAGAATAAGACCAATCGAAACAATTGTGAGAAAATGGGACAAATATTCAATAATATATCAGATTTATCTTTTATAACTGAATAAACTAGGGAAAGAACCCGCCAAAAATGACGATAAAAGCAAAATCGATCATCGATTACAAGTCCACTTTTCTTATTTTAGTATAAAATTGCAGTAATAGTTTCATTTTCATTAAAATTGCACATCCAGCCATTCACACAATATCGAAATACATTTCTCTATTCTTAACTAGACATAGAATCATTCATATAACAAGAGTTTTCATATTTAAATAGCGAAAGCAGCTTTAATATGTGTCTATAATAGCTCTTATAATATTCGCGCAATTATGCAGGAACAGCCACCGCAAAGCTAAAATCATTGATTGCGTATCTGTATTTAGTATTCACAAAGAGAGAATAATCCATGAATTGGTAATTGAAATGTTAATTGTGCCGTTATCTCATCACCTTACCGCAACAGTGATGCGCTCTTCACGTGTAACAATGCAAATTCGCATGAGCAGCACAAGGATTCGGTCGGAATATCCGAAGAAGAGAGGCCACGCTACCCGCCCACCCCCCGAATTCGGATTCCCGAAATATCTTCGTTTGTACGAGCGGTATGATGACGTAAAGCAATGCATCTAGTATGCATTTCGCGAAAGCGCAGTCATAGTATGCGCGAGTGTACGAATCTGGGTGAGAATATGCAATTCCCTCGTCCAAACGTTTTTATAGCATCGCGTAAAGTGCTTTTCAGTCGGAAAACTTTTTATCTCCTTTGCTCTCTCTCTCTTTTCCTTTTTCTCGACAAAAAATAATTAATAGAATAATAAATAACATTTAATAGAATTTAATAATTAAGTGCACAGAGATCTCTCGTAATAAAAAAAATTTAATTCGTTTAAAAGAAATTTTTCACTATTTTGAAATGTGTGCCAGTTGTTTCTTTCTGCATAAAATATATCGCGTGCTAAAATAAAAATAAGATATTAATTCTTAACCTACATTCAATCTTTAAATTAATCTTGATAAAATTTCAGATGCCACCATTCGTTACACTATCGTAATTTTTATCATTAAATCTCGTTGTAATTAAAAGCCTCAAATTTATTTTAAAAATAAAACTATTCCGAATTAATGAAAAGTAGTAATTTAATACTCGCTTGTTTTTAAAGCTTCGCCGACATCCCATAAATTTCGTTGTAAAAACCCTTTAGTTAAGTCTCAGTTTTTTTTAACGTTCCATTACCACGTTCATTACGAAATTCCAATATTAAAACTTTCGACAATATCGACATTATATTGATGTTATCGTATTTTGCATGTTAAGCAAAATAATTTTATTAAGAAATATATTACTCCTTGATAAAAGCACAATATTGAATAACATATAAATCAGGAAATAATTAAACTGATTTATTTCTCGTACTTTATATTTTTTTCCGGACACCCATCTAATATTGTAATACGGAATAATGATAAATGTACACGTCTTACTTGTCGCACCGCTGGGAAAACGTACGCTTAACAAATGGGTTACCCGAACCAATCAATGCCCGATTCCAAAAGTCCAATTTAAGTTTCCTGTCGCGCTCAGTCAGCGGGTTCGCACACGTCGTTCTTTGATCAGTAGAAAACGTTCATTTTCCCGAGAAAACACCTCCGCGTCGAATGCCGCGCGTACGTTGCACTCATGGGAGAAATTTTACACGATTTGCGCAAAACCCGGAGCTCGGGTCAAAGATTCGCTAGTCATGGACGACATGAGCAACGAATCGATCGGAAACTCGACACCGTAGCGCCGCGAACGTCATCGCCACGAGAAGCGTCCGTCATGCAACACCATCATCGCGACATCGGAAATGTCATTAAATGATGAAATTAACTGTATGATGATGCTTGCGGCGAATCAGATTAAAATAGGCACAAATACTTCAGCATATAAGTACATAAAATATTTGCGATCGCTTAGATTAAAGCAACAATATTATGAGATTTAAAAATTAAAAATAACTATTTATTATTATTTAATGATGTGTTGCAAGTCATGAATTTTTCACTTATCAGTTTTAATAAAAAATTGATCAAAATAATTCACAAATAAAGCACGATTTTTTAATAACTATATTGTAATTTTATATAAGTACTCTGCATTATTTTACGCTATTTTTAAAACTAAATTTTGTTTGTATAATATATACATTTACATCTAATAATTTTGCACAGAGGTAATGTGACCATGTATAAATTTGTACTAAATTTGTTACTTTAGCTAATCTACAACATACGATGCGAGAATCCCCAAAGGAACAAAACCAACATAAGGTTGGCTGACATTATCACTTGCCTACGTGTGCACAACACTTTGCTTACAATATACATACATGATAAATATAGGATAGTATATGCCTTATTGACACATTGGTTTATAAAAGATGGGATAATTCGAACTATTATACACTTGCTGCAGTAAAATTTTGTTATTTTTGATTAATACCGTTATTTTGTGTGTGGTCATTTTAAAACTAAATATTTTTAAGACAGAACGAGAACAAATCATCAATTTATGATAATAATCCTTATTCAAGATATTGTTTTAAATTTTCACAGAATTACAATTTTGGCTTCTAACATAAAATCGAACAAAAATCATAAAAATAAAATAAAAAATAAAAAATGTAACAGCTTGAAATAGAAGTGGAACAAAATAGAATAAAAAAAGTACAGATTTCTTCGCGATTGACTATCTTCCTAAAAGCACTGTAATTCTAAAATTTTTAATTTAAAATTATATTGAATAGACATTTAATGCTGAAATTATATTAAATAGAAATAATGTATATTTTTTTCATATTTATGTAAAGTTTTTGCACGAAATCAAATGAGAATATTCTGAATCTAGTTGTAAGATGAAACTGCTGAAGTCAATGATATGAATTAACAGGAATTTGTCGTAATCTTCTATGTATTATCTAAAAGCCGACCCGTTTCCCATCCTAAAATACCGTGCACGTCGACCTCGGTGTATCAGGCTATGTACGTGGCGACCCGTATCACCCTGTATATCCTGCAACGTCGCAAGCCCTAGTCCTCTAGCGTAATAAACTAATTTCTCCCTCCCGCATAGGTTACACAACCAGCACAGCCATCATAGTCGTCATATAAACCGCGACGCGTATTTATAATCTCTTCGATGTGCGCGTCATATATGTCGCGGTTGATTTAATCGCATAAGTCTATATACATTTCTATGCATGCGAAAGCGCACACAAACGGAATATATCGGAAAGTTTTTCCGCGACTGCAAATTCTTTTACGAATGCAAAATTTTTCTGCAAAATTTATTTGAAATTCCTATTACTTCTTTTGCAAAATTTTGCAATATTTTTTCCTTTTATTTTGTCAATCGCTTCTCTTTTCTATAATTTTTATACGATTTTCACCTTGTCGCGTAGTAATGTAAGAAAAAAGAATAAAAATATAAAATACAAAATATATTCTTAGCCACAAAGAATGATACAAATTATTATAAACTACACCCATTAAATTTTCTTTTATGTGCTCCAGTAATATAAACATGAATTATGTAGATTACTACATCATTCCTATATTTTTCTCCAAAAATAAAAATAACACAGTATCACGTGTGAGTATCAAATCCCATTTCGTATTCTTATCTTTTCCTCCATGTCCTACTTTATTCCCTAATGTTCACATCTTATGATTATACTTCATTCTTTTGGCTTTTAGCCTTAATATTTTATGAGAGAAAGTCCGGAACTTGTGTGACACCCCACGTATGTACGACCTCACAATAGCACATTTCTGTAGCAGCGATTCCGTAAACGAGGACTGGTTCGTGAGTATTCAGGTTCGATAGTAACTACAACCCTGCACGAGGCAACCTTCTCTCGCACAACCAGCCAACCTCACGCCGGGCTAAAATTAGACAACCACTGGGCGACGGCGGGAGTTTATTCAAATTACTCCGGTACTCACGCGCAATACTCGCGAAACAGACTGCCGGATTTTCGAGGCGAGATGCCTATTGAATTCCTGGCGCGAAAAGCGGAAGTGCCGACATTGTATTCGCGACGATACAGTTACTTTGTCGCTCTCCGCGTAAGATTAATAAAGAACGCTCAAAATAGACCGCGTTTTTGTGCGAGTTTGTCGTCGTCCACGACGAGAGGACGCCACTTTCATGAATAATTAATTATCGCTTCCTTAGTTAATTTATCTTCGTTACAACGGTTGAGAAGTTTTCGCGCGGAATATCGAAAAAAACCTATATAATGATAGCAAAACAATCTTTATCTTTTTACGAAATAAACGTTTTCGAATTTTGTTAGTGTTGTTCTCCTTTTCACAATACTTATTTCATAAAGAATAAAACTAGTTCATCATCGTTATATAAATTATCAGTGTTACTTCTATTTTGCCTTAATTCTTTTTCGGATAAGGCAATTTTCCTTCTTTTTTAATATAATCTCATGTTTGAAAATAATGTTGCAAAAAGAGCACTTATCGTACTATCTATATAATTGTATTATGATATTTTATTAAACTAACATGCAACATTTAAAAAGAAAATCTTTTATTAAAAAGTCAAACTGTTATTTCGTGAACCGTGTCCAGCGAGAGAAGGAAAGACACCACCCAAGTTCCGCGTTTTATTGTGAAACTGAGATATTGAAGATAAAGTTCATTCTCTGTGCGTGGAAGTTAATTTATCAATGGAATTTTAAGGGCTTTAAAGTAGCTTTAAAGCTGACAAGCGGGGACTAAAGGAACACTAGAATTCCTTCGCGAATGCGCGGCATGCGGCTGTTATCAGACAGAGATGTCGACACTTACCGTTGTCTTCTCCAAGCAACGAAGTAGGTGATGATGCTGCAACTCGAAGATATCTTCCTCCTTGCAGTACTCCTCCAGCTGCAGTCCGCTCTCCTGAGCGGCCAAACGCGCCTCCGCAGCCTTCTTTTTGCTTACGAAGGCGGCGCCGCTCGACGCCTTCGCGATTCTTATACGCGCCAATCTGGCTTTCTGCAACACGAAAAAAAGAAAAGTTCATTATTCCTCTACTCTTTTCACGAGATCTAAATATAAAGCTAGAAATTAGCATAGTTTAATTTTAATTATGAAGACGCGCGCAGTTGCTTAAGATAAGTAAGTGTTGTCGCGCCGTGGGACACATGTATACAAGCGTTTGCATTAGCTCATGATGAAGTATGCACGGTTTCTCACTATGTTCACCAGGGATAAATTTCTGCTAAAGCCAAAATAAACTTTTATCTTGGCGCTGTGATACATGGGGCGCGGACTTCATCGTGCCTCCTTAAATCTCCATTTTACGCCGCACGGAAAGCCTTCGGTTGACAAATGGGCGAATTTCGCTGTCGTAAATATTTTACGTAAATTCCTGCCGGTGAAAAGGACCCTTCTCAGAGAGATTCGCTTTCAATGGATCTTGGTGTCTTCATGTTGGCGCCTTAAGTGAACCGCAAAACTTTTCAGCTTCTCACCTTGCATTTATTTACAAGAAGATAAGAAGCGTTTATGAAAATTTTATGTAAATTAAGCTACTCTCAATAAATATATACCATCATTTCCCTATTCTGTATATACACTTTATCTTCGCTTTTTATCCTCATCGCTTTATTCTCTTGCTTCTTATTCTCGTCACTTATGTAGCATTTTTAGAAAATTGAAATAAATTATATTCATTATTTCAACAACACGAAAGAGATGCCACATCCTACTATTTTAACGTAATCATGAAATACCGATATTTTATCTTTGATTTTTGTATTTTTTTATGAATATTTGTTTAATGATTTGATAATTAGACTTAATTAAAAATATGATTAAACAAAAGTAAAAATTTAAGCGTCATGGAAAATTTATATTTTGATGGATATAACACATACACGATAATTAAAAATATCACAAAAATGCTGAAGATTCAGTTTCGCTTTCGTTTAAAAAAAATTAAAGCTACAATCTAATCTAATAAAATTTAATGATGCTATCAATAAAGATTGTATTTACAGATTAATACAGTATGTGTAACGTTAAGTCCCATTATCATTACATTTTTTTCTTCACTTTTTGATAACTTTAGAATACAACATATAGCCATCCCTCATCCACTCTCCTCTTCCGCTTCTTTATTCATGAATAAGTAGAAACATATCAGCAGAACGCAAAGTGAAAACCAACAGAGCTCGTAAACTTTAAGTTATGGCAAGTAATATTGCTAGCACAGTTGAAATACATCAAATCATTTATTTATAATCCCGGACAAGCTAAGAACTATAAATAAACGCGGTTCTTTCCGCCCTGTATTTTTCTAAGCGCCTTTATAAATAAACGACCTTATGCAACCTTATTGACGCTGCATACAACCACGTGTATAATATTTCTTTTTTCTTACGGTCGACCTGCAACAAGTACCGCGCTATTTTATGCAGGAAGAAATCTGCGCGCGACCAGCGCACGCAAATAATAATTTCTTTAACTCGTGTTGCTTAATCTTTACGAGATAATCTTTTCTTGGTGCTTCAAAATAATAAAAAAGCAGCAGCTTAAACAACAGGGTCCTTAAATTCCAGCTTATGCATCTATCCTTTTTTCTGAACTTCCTACTTGCTAAGAAATTGACTCAACATTTAACAAAGTATCTATTAAAATCTTTCATCATTTCAATTTTTTTCATAGTAAGATTTTGACACAACTTTTCTCATTGTCTTATTTTAACATTCAATTTCAAATATCTCTGTATGTAATTACATTCGTATATATCAGTACACGTGCGTTGAGAAAATATTGTTAAAAATTTTTTTAGAAAAAGAAAGAACGGGTTATAAATAGTCACAATTTTTAATCAATTATAGACAATCAAAATCCAATCGAAAAACTTGTCAGCAAGACGTAGAAATGAAATTTTATTATAGATCTAAATGAATCTTGCTCTTATCCATCATGCGGTCGACTGTCACGCAATCCTGTCTAGAATTAATAACATGTTGGTTTCAAATGTCGTATAATTATTGATAAAACTTCATTTTTCAAGAAATAGATAGCTAATATAATAATAGGAACATGAACCGAGCATTAAGCTGTCTGTCGGACACATTGCCTCGCGAGAGTTTTGAAATAATGGAATAATATCGGAATTTCTGCAATTTCACGCGATTAGACCGCGAATAAACTCTCGGCGCACTCTTTTCCACCCGCAAACGAGGATTAACGACAAAGTCCAAGCGGTCACGTATCGACCGCGCTAATTTTGTAACTTTCACAACTTGCACTGTGCGATTGCGGAAATTGCAACAGGCGGCAATAAGCATTAATTCAATGTCCACATCTTGAACTGCAATGCGCAATCATTATGAAAATATAACGAGATAAGTCGCTCTTGAGATTCTCCGAACGCTCGTGTATATTTTTGTGAAAGATATCGATAGCTACCATTAATCGGCTGATTAGAGATTGAAAGGGCTCAGTGTTTCTATCGGTTCTATTTTTGTTAAAAAAAAAGGGGGGAGGGGTAAAAGCGTACTCGTGGCGACTAAGAGGATCGAAGAATTTGTTTCAGTCGATAAAGATATGGACACAAGGAATTAAACTGCCTTTCTGCCAAACGAATTTATGCTTCCAATCTGGGATTACTTTTGCAAATAGAAGTTATGTTCCATGTAGAATTGAAGAAAAAACTCGTGTGTTATTTTGTAGAACACATTTCAGATAAAGTATTATACATCAACACAGAAAACATGTAAAGTATTCAATATTATGACATTTTGCATTCATGTTTATCAATTTCACATAAATTAATAAATGTTGATGACAGTTTTAACACCAAAAACGAAAGCTTTTTGCTATTTTTGAAATATCTAGATCAGTAGAATACAAATATTTTTATCACGCATTTAGCACTAATTGTAAATAAATTTGTATGACCTGAAAATATGTATTTTTGTCGCAAACTTAGCGAAAAATATCTCAGATATTCTCATTTCGCTGCAAATATCTAAAGATCCAACTCTATCGCGGCCAATCGAGATGGTTGTATTTTACGCTAAATGAACCGCATAATGGGACGATTATATGTGTCTAATTCCGTCGCCCTAAGTTCGGCAACTTCGCCAGTCCAAACAGCCGTCTTTCATGCTAAATTCGCTCCGAGATTATGAACTGCAAGCTCTTCGCTTATCGCAAACTTGCGATAAATGCAGAGTACCAAGGTGCAAAGCTGCAAGGTCGCCGCGCGGAACAGAAGCCCAGCTGCCGATTTACGTTCGCCTCGGTATATTTTCGCGCGGTGCAATTCCGGCCAGAGTTACCGCCGCGATTTTCCGCGACGTGCATTTCGCTCGACACCCGCGGATGTTTACGTCGTTACGGATCAAGGCGTCTGCGAAGCGTCAGGAAGCCGTCCTCCGGTGCATCAGCTGCGGCTTTAACTACGCTTTACTGTCACGTCACCGGCGACGACGGTGACGACGATGATCACGACGATGATCACGACGACGAAGACGACGGCGTCGTCGTCGAGTGGTAGCGAGATTTGACAACGCCAACGAATCGTCGCCAGCTGTGATTGAGCGCAGCTTTATGAAGTCGCAATAAAAGCGCCGTAAAGCGAGCGAGATCAAGCGCTCGGGACGCATGATGAGATCCGTAGCGACGTTGTTTCACGTACGATGAAGCGCGGCGTGGAACGTTTCGGGTTCACTGAATATTTCCGGTATTTGTGCCGGTGATGATGAGCTTAAATAAAGTTCAAGTAAATATCACGATATTATTTATATACGCTCTAATATGTCGCATGTGTGCAATTTAGTTTTTAATCGTAAATATTATCGCTTTTTTTTTCCACGAAGAATAAAAAGTAATAATTTTTAAAGCTGGAAAGTCAATTTGATATAACTGTATTCATTTTCACGATGTAACTAAATTTAGAATGTAAATTGCGATTGCATAGCGAGGGCGAAATGCTGCACCACAATAGACGTCACAAATAATGCATATTGACGCATGTTGTATCGAACAGATTCCGAATGGCATGCTTGACAGACTTCGCGTAACTAATCAACCGCTTCATAATGACCATTTCCCAATTTGCATGCAAACTTGCTACAGTTCTTACCGAAATTACACGGCCACATGTTGTATCACATTAGTTATGCAAAGGCTGCTTTTCGCTATCGTGTATTAATCAAGTATTTAATGTATTAATTAAGTTTTACAATTATAATCAATGTATTAATTAATACATTAATACATCGATAACCAATAACAACACGTTTTAAGTTTCTCGCGTATCGCATAACCGACTCTTATAAAAGATAAAAAGTACTCGTTTAAACACACGTAACTTTTTATAAATCCATTATATTGTTTAAATTAATATAAAATATTAGAGAGCGAGAAAAAGAAAGATAGAAAAAACGCGCAAAACTACATTAAAAGAATAATTCTATTAAACAATATTTTCAATCACATTTTTATAAAGATTAATTGAGAAAATAGAGAAAACAATTCAGAAATATAAAAAATAATTTGGAAACACGCAAAGGTAAACATGTTGCTCAAAAGAAACATCCTATCAACAACGATGAAGTCGGTTAATTTCCTTATCGTTCTTACATTGCAAACATGTGTCTTTCCGAAGAGGCTTTTACGTTTCGAAACCACGAAAGGGTTATCAGCGTCTGGCGGCGTCCCCGCCGGAAGTTACATAGATTCGCGAATGCATTCAACCCGCCGGCGTGGTATCGCTTGCGAAACGAGAGAAAGTAGAAGTTCGGCTGAAACGTATCTACAGCTCGCAGTGGTTTCACACAGCCCAAGGCGGACACAATCGAACATTCGAATAGCTAGTCGCTAAATAGACGCGTGCGCAAAACAAAAGCGAGAGCGATAACAATATTACATGTTCGCGCGACAGTCAGAGCGATTAAAAAAGTGCTCGACGATCCGGTGTAATTATAATAAACTGGAAAACTGTGTCGCGCCGGCAACTGTGACGGCGAATGTCC